TACAAAGTGAAAAAGAGGATAGAATATGGTGAATATGGAACTTCATTTACATATGCAGTATAGACATAGCCAAAGAGACAGAAAGTAGGTTAGAACTTGCTGGGTGTTCGAGCTAGGGAGTGTCTGCCAGTAGAAAAGGCTTTTTCAGATGGATGATGAAAATGTCCAGATATTAGGTTGTTGTAGTAAATTAAAAATAGAGTGTTGGTCTAGGTCTTCTCCATGCATGGTCCTTGGTTGGCACATTGGTCTCTGCAGGTCTCCCTGAACCAGATTTTTTTGGTTCTGTTGCTCTCCTTGTGGAGCTCCTGTCTCCTCCAGGTCTTTCTATCTCCCCCTTCTTTCATAAGCTTCCCTGCACTCGTCCCAAAGTTTGGCTATGAGTCTCAGCATCTGCTTGGATACCCTGCTGGGTAGAGTCTTTCAGAGGCCCTCTGTGGTAGGCTCCAACCAACGACCATGCATAGAGAGGACCTAGACACTCTGCTCAGATGTAGACCACAGACAGCTCAGTCTTCATGTGGGTTTCCTAATAAGGGGGACAGAACTGTCTCTGACATAGACTCAGTGGCAGGCTCTCTAATCACCTCCCCATGAGTGGGGAGCAGCCTTACCAGGCCACAGAGGAAGACAATGCAGCCAGTCCTGATGAGACCTGATAGGCTAGGGTCAGATGGAAGGGGAGGAGGACCTCCTCTATCAGTGGACTAGGGGAGGAGCATAGGGGGAGAAAAGGGAGGAGGGTATGACTGGGAAGAGGTGAGGGAGGGGGCTACAGCTTGGATACAAAGTAAATAAATTGTAATAAATAATAAATCAATAAAAAATAGTGTTGGGCTATGTTTATTATTAGCCCTAAGATTTTCACGGTGGTATTACATAACCCACTATCACAAATAATAAGACACAGACACCTGTTAGATTTATAATTGCCTTATTTACCTTGGCCAGACAGATATTTTCCTTGCACTGTCTTAATATGCTCACCATCCATTTCCCATCCAATGCATCTACCTTAATCCTCCTCATCCTTTCTACCTTCCATACATAATCCCATGGTACTTGCTTGTATTCTTCATCTGAGCCCTTTTACACCATCGTTGGAGTCCTTCCTCCAGGCTCATGTGATTTCTTCTCCAGGCTAACTCATCATGGCATCCTTCATTCTCTCCTCCTGCCCATCTGTTCCCCATGGTTCTCCCAGGAACCTTAGCCATGCCTACCCCATTCTGCCCTGCTCAGTATAGACTGTTTAACCAACCAATCAGATATGTCTTAGGCAGGTTTACAAAACAAAGATAGGTGTAGCCAGATCTTAAGGGCCAGTAACATCCATCAGACCAACCTCCAACATTAGGGGATAGGAGTTTATCTCTATAAGAGAGCACTGGGAAAAAAAAAAAAAAAGATACCCTAAAGCCAGGTAGTGTTGACTACATCAATAACCATGTAAGCTATATGAATCATATCTCAAGACAAGACACAAGTAGAAAATTATAACATATAGGCAACTGTATATACAAAAGACTATTGTACTTATTTTTAAAACTGCCTGAAGATTCTATGATGGTCATGGTGTTGACTGTTGACAGGGATCAAGGAGCACATGGGAAATGGACCTCTGGGCATTCCTGTTGGGGATTGTCTGGTGTTAATTAAATTGGAAGGACACACCCACTGTGGGTCATTTCCTGTGCTGGGATTTTAGACTGTGTAAATGGAGAACAGAAGCTGAGCACCAGCATGCATTTATAACTGTGGGACCAGCTGCTTCAAGTTCCTACCCATGATGGACTGTACCCTTGAACTGTGAGCTAAAACAAGCCCTTTCTCCCTTAAGTTGCTTCTGTCAAGGTATTTTATCACAGCAGCAAGAAACTAAGACAGCTCCCAAGATGTAAACTGTATCTCTGAATCTATCAGGCCAAAAAAGATTGTGGAAGGAAATGCAAAGTGATCGCCTAGAGTTTGTGAAGTGGTTTGATAACACATAGTTTGGAGAGAAGGTCTATTGTGGCCCAGGCTTGGCCTCAAACTTGATAGGAAGGACGGCAAGGATAGCCCTGTCTCTTGGGCCTCATGTTTCTACCTCCCAAGAGCTGTGATCATCTGAGTGCGCAATCACATGCAACTGATATTACAAATGTTCTACGATAAATAGAATACTTTTAGCATGTAAGGGAAGATCACCTAGTGATAAGTTCCTTGTCATTGGAAACAACCCCCAAAGTCTGAAAACCATCAGATGTACACATTTCATGTTAGCAGGAAATTTGACTTAGCAAGTACATTACGGTATTAGCCTTTGTGTGAATGGATGTGTAGTGGCACACAGGTGAAGGTCAGAGGTCAAATTTCAGAGGTCAAACTCAGGTTGCCTGGCTCCACATAACAAGAACCTTTACTGAGAGCCATTTCATCAGGCCCCTTTGGGTGTGTGTGCGCGCGTGTGTATGTGTGCGTGTGCACGTGAGCGCAGGAGGCCAGATGTTAACCTCTTGTCTTCATCAATCATTCTCTAAGCAGGGTCTTTCACAGAACCTGGGGGTCACTTACTTGATGAAACTGGTTGACCAGCAGGCTCTAGGAACCCACGTGTCTGCCTCTCCTGGGTTACTGCACAGCTGCACCTGGCTTTATACATGAGTGCCAGGAGGCCAAACTCAGGTCCTCGTGCCTGGAATAAGCCATCTCACCAAGAGTCTCTTTTATAAAGTTCTCGGTTTATTTAAGAACTTTTTTTATTTTTTATTTGTTTGTTTCTCTAGACAGGGTTTCTCTGTGTAGTCTTAGCTGTCCTGGACTTGCTTTGTAGACCAGGCTAGCTTTGAACTCACAGAGACCCACCTGCCTCTGACTCCTGGAATTAAAGGCATGTGCCACCTATTTTATTTCTATTTCATTTTTAGTTATGTGTGTGGGACACCAACTGGCCCACCTAAGCATATGACTGATAGGCCTTGATCTTCTCTCCCATTCCCTCTGCCTTGCTAAAAACCTTTAGACCACATTTCCGAAGCTTGCCCCCAAGGCCTGTTTTTTTATATGGCTACTTCCTCCTCTGGAGGCTGACTACCAAGGTCCAGCTACCAAAGTACTGAAGTCCAGTCCCCTTTGACTACCGTAGCTAACATGTCCAATTAAAATTAAACATCTCATGCTAACACGAGGTTTCCCCTTGTGTTAGCCTAATGCATAGGTTTCCTGTGGCCATGTCTGTCTCCTCTCTATCCAGAAGCAAGTCTTTTGTCCTGTTTCCCTCTGGGACAAATGTTCCTGGGCCTCCCTTCCCCATCTTCCTCTATCGCCTGCCCTGTCCCCCTGGAGCAAATAAATCTTTGTGCTAAGAACTTTGTCTTGGGCTGCTGAGTCAATACTTTTCCTTTCAGTGTGTATGGGCACCTGAAGGTGGGTACCCACAGAAGCCAGAGACATCAGATCCCCTGTAGTAGCATGGGTGTTGGGAATCACACTCCGGTCCTCTGCAAGAGCAGTGGATTCTCAACATCCAATTCTCCTCTGCACTCTCCCTGTTACTGTTTTTGTGTTTTTCAGACAGGGTCCCACTGTAGCCCAGGCTAGCCTCAAACCAGCTATGTATCTGGCCTGTAACTCCTGAACTTCCTGCCCCTACCTTCTGTGTGCTGGGATTAGTCAAGTGCCACAATTCAATATGGTTACTTTTCAGTGCTTCCTCACACATGTTAAGCATGTGCCCCACAGTGCCATCTGCCTCCCCATTTCCTTTTAATAATCTGTGTTAAATCTTGGTGCTGAAGATAACCTGCCTGGTGAAAGAAAACCTACGTTTATTTCTATTGTAGTCACAAAGTAACTGCAGAGAAATACTGCAGTTTACTGAGCGTACTAAAACTTAGAAAACTAGTCTGAAAGCAGACTACATGTTTCTACAAAATCAAGACAGATTATGTTCTAATAAAATCCTCAGGAACTGATGGGGACTGGGGGAGGGGCTGTGAAATGGCTAAACTGGTAAAATATGCTTCCTGAGCAAGCCAGGCAGTCTGTTTGCAACCCTGGAACCCACATACAGAAAGAGAAAACCAGCTAATCCCCAAGTTGTCCTCTGATCTCTGCTTGGGTGCGCTGTAGCGCGTGTATGCGTGTGCACACACATGAGCACACGGTTATTAAAGATTACCAAAGGAAGCCGGGTTTGCTCTCTGGCCCTTAAATGTTAAGATGCAGCATTTGAAATACTGTCTGAATGTGCCAATTCACACTCACCCCAAAGGTTGCTGACACACAGAATGAGCAATTTTTAAAAGGGGAACTGCCACCGATCCCACCCCCGGCCTCCAAGTTCAGAGACTGTCAACAAGATGGGAAACTGGCCAAGGCAGCTTCAGGTCCATCAGTGCTGGGGTTTAGCTCTGCAGTGTGAGCTGGCTCCTCCCACTCCCCCACAGAAAAGCAGGGAGCTATAAAAAGCTTTGTTTTCTTCCCTCCTAAGACAGTTCAGTTCAGATGGGAAATGTGAATGTGCTTGGTTTTCTGCTGTTGTTTTCCTGCTGGGGCCACTGACAAACTTCTTACAGGCCCAGGGGCAGCTTCCTGTTTCTGTCTCCCAGGACTTGATGGATGCTGAACAGAGCACTCTACCAACTGAGCTACGGCTCCACCCACCTACCTAAAAATTTCATCCCAAAATGTTTTCAGTTTCTTGTTTTAAGACAGGGTCTCACTATGTAGCCTGGGCTAGCTTAGAACTCCAGGCTGGCCTTAATCTCAAAGAGATCCTTCTGCCTCTGCTTCTCCACACCCAGCCTAAAAATACATTTCTCAAGGTCAAAGTGTTATTAATCTGCCAAGAGTTTGGGGTAACGCCCAAACCGCTTAACACTGGAGTAGAGTGCTTTGGACCATCTGTTGTCTCTGCTATCCCCAGCCCCACATACTCACCTGCTGCACAGTCCAGGGGGATTCTACTTGAGGGAAGGCTGGAAGCCATGAGAGCTAAGAACCTACACAGTTCGCAGTTAAGAGATGAAAGGCTGCAGAAATGTTTATTGAATACAGTGCCAGGTTTATAAATAAAACTTATTTACAATTTCCATAGAGTTGGTCCCCCATCAGAGAGGTGGTTAAATCCCCAAACAGTTTATCTCAAGATTTACAGAACATTCAAGTACATCTCCTTTTCAGACAGCCACAGTGAAGGGTGACTTCAGTAGCAGGACTACCACCTTTGCTATAGGTATTTAGTGAACATTGTAGTAGGTCTAGGAGAACACGCATCCCTGCCTTCTTATTCAGGGGGATAGACAGCAAAGAATTTGTCTCCTACAGGACAACTTCAAGGGGTATTAAAAAGAAAAGCAGGTGACTGCTGGCTGAGGGGGTCAATTGAGACACATTGTAAATCTCGTTGCTGCCAAAGAGAAGTATATGTAGGACATACAATAAATCATTCAAATGGTTAAGATACTTGAACCAAGAGTTGACCTGACCAAATTTACATTCTTCATTCAAGAAGAAGTTCCCAGGATGCTGAGGGGCGAGTGACAAATGCTATCCCTCTTGCGTGACAGTTAACACTAGGCCTACTGGACAGCCATTCATTACAATATGGTTACAAGGTGGACATGCACTTATAAAGAGAATATAAAAATATGTACAATAGCTCATCTTCAACGTGTTTTAAGTTTCTCAAAGACACCAATTAAAGTGTGCAAAGATTTGTCAAAAAATCAGAAAAAGCCTTCCCTGGCAACAGCACATTAAAGCCCATCTGAGCTATCAAGATGTTTGCCTTGCTCAACAGCTCCCCCCAACAGACGGAGAACACACTATGAAGGTGTGCCAAGGACTCAGCAGTTTCTTAGGGCAAGTCTCAGGCTAAAGCAGGATGCCAGTTAACTAGTCACTTTATATATATATATATATATAAATATATGTATATATTTATAGAGTAGTTATAAGTGAGAGACAGTTTACAGGAAAGTGCTATCCAACTTCAGAGGTACTGCCTTGACACCCTACTCTTTTCCCCTTACAGACTCAGACTGCCAACACCAAGCTCTGGGCTGGTTGTGCCCCGGGATCCAAGAAGGCCGAGGAGGTGGGGGGACTCTGCCTCCTGCAGCTCTGAACCTCAGCTTACATTCCTTGAGGGTCTCTGGTTCCCACACAGGATTCCTGGTCACACAAGAATCCTGTTTCAAAGGTAGCCTTTTGGGACAGGCTATGGGGCTGCTAATGTGGAATCTACCCAGCTTCTACAAAGACTTGGTAGAAGGTAAAAGATAGGAGGCAAGTTTAAAAAAAGTTAAGTCACCTCCAACCCCCTTTGAAACTACCAAGAGGTTACAGACCACAGGCCTGAGACTGGGTCGGCCACTGGGCATTTCCATCCGCTCACAAGACACACCTACTGCCATTCACTTCCTTCACCTAGAGCCCTCAGTTCTCTTACCAGAAGGAACCCCCATTCTTAGGAGTACCTAGTGATTCAGAAGCCAATTTACAGTGCCTCAACCTGTCTGCCAGCCACCCAGTCCAAGGACGAGCAGAAGCGCCCAGGCAACATCTCCCTCTCCACTGCTCTGACCCAACCCTTGGCGGAAAAGAATTCCAAGGAGCTACAAAATGCCAGGCGGACAGGGAGCAGGAGAGGAAGAAGCCAAGGGTCTACGTATTAGCCCCGAATGCACTCATCTGGCTGCCGAGGGCTTCTCATCACCTTGCTAGAGGCCTGCCATTGTGCCCTGCCCCCACCCCCTTAGAAGCGTGTTGCATTTAGTACAGAGCTCATCTGTGAAACAAGGGCCTTGTACATTTTTCAGGGTGTTAACTGGTTGTATCTGATTGGCCTAGGAGCTTTTATTTCTGAGTGCGGGGGTGGTGGCTTTTAAAATAGATCAGTCCCGGCACGTCTTGAGTTTTGGTTACAGGGTTATAATTAGAAATGAAATCCACTCTGGGACATATAGTTTTGTTTTGTTGCTTTCAAGTCAGTCTTAAGCAGTAGTTCTAGTTATGGGGAGAAGAAGCAGTCAACTTAATAAAAAAAAAGATATAGAGGCTAAAGTTAAGTATAATCATCAATGTTCAAACCAAATCAAAGGTGACTGCTAGGGTCTTCGACCGGACTGCTTCCATCGTTCAGTGAGCATTGAATTACACAGATAATAAATCTTGTCTCCTGCACAGATGGCCTCACGTACTTACAAAGGGTCGGCAGCAGCACAGACGAGAAGTCCTGATGCATGCTTCGGAACAGGCTTTTGCTCACCGAGGGCTCTACTCTGCCTGAACAGATCAACGGACTGTGATTTGCGCACGCACACACAGAAAATGTAACTAGACTTACATGGTATAGATGATGAACTCAGTATCTGCCAGGTGTCAGGAGCTGATGCTACGTAATCTGGGCAGGAAATCCAGTTCACACTGGATGATGGCTGCTTGCATGTACGCTGACCTCCCCTCCGACTGCCTTGTCCTTGTCCCCTTCAGGTCTCAGCTTTACAAAGCATTTAACACCACTTTTAAGTTAATGGTCTTTTTATTGGAAAAAAAAAAAATAAAAGACTAGCATTTACAACTTGGAATGGACGTAAATTATAATTTCCTGAACAGCAATGTTGATGGTTGTGCTCAAGTCCACAGACACAGCCTGCTCTGCTGGCTCCGAGTCATGGTTCACAAGGTGTTAAAACAAGAGTCCAAAGATGCTCCCTTGGTAAACATTTCTTATTAAAAATTTGTGTGATTTGGTGACAGCCTCGATGTTCATTTCACTCTAACACAATGCACACAGCACTAAACCACCATACTTGGGCATGCCACCAGGGTGTCATTGTCACTGTGGGATTGGAGCACTTGAAGTACAAGAGGTCCATCCTACTTCTGGGGCTCTGTCTCAAAGGTTAGCCTTCACCCATTTTCTGCACATTATCCTGAGGTAAACCAATTTTAAATGTTTGCAGTAAACTGGCTACTGACAATTTATCGGAACAGATTGGACTAGAACCCATCTGACAAGATTTTGAATTTGTTTTTTCCATTTTTCAGTTTTAATACAAATGCCTGACTGTGCTAAATCGTCAAGCTGCATGCATGAGAAACTGGCCAGCCCAAACAGTGTATTAATCATTAGCAAATGGAACTTTAAGGACTCCACTAAGTGCTTCCTTATAAGGTAGTACGAGTATTTATACTGTAAAACTGATGTGGGGGGCTTGATCTTTAGGGGCAGGACCACCAACCAATACATGCAGATTTTTGTGTGTGGACAGAAGGTACTTTTGACATTCAGTTTTGCTAGATAGAAACAGAATGAATAAATGAACTTTTTTCTTTTCTCTTTTTTTTTTTTTTTTTGTAAGAGGTAAGTAAAAGATTTCAATTTGATTCTTCTAGAGGGGGAAAAGTAGTTGAAAGTAGGTCTTCATTTTGCAGTCATCATCTGTACGAATTCTGAAAAGACAAATAATCATAACGTTTGATTATCTTCAAAAGAAGCTGTCATGAACACATCTAATGTGTACAATAAACTGGAAACCAGCCATCATAGCAACTGCTAACCTGATGCACACAGACCTGAAGGCTACTGAAAACCAGGCTCAAGAATTAGCCTTTACCTTCATAGTTGACTTGTCCGTCGCCATCAATATCTGCTTCTCTGATCATTTCATCTACTTCTTCATCTGTTAGTTTTTCTCCTAAGTTTGTCATGACGTGGCGCAGTTCTGCTGCACTGATGTAACCATTTCCATCCTGTGAACAAGAGGGATTGTTACAAGGTAATGGTGGATAGAGGTTCTAGGAGAATAAGCAACTCTGAGGTGAACTCACACTCTTCCCAGAGTTATTGCCAACTCTGTTCTCATCAACATCCCTCCCACCTCCAGTTCCCACCAGTCACCAAACACAGAATGCACAGAGGGTTTTTCAAAAGCAGACAGACACAGAACATAACAAAGACAGGACAGTCAATTCAGCATTTCTCTCTGCTGGGCCTCGCCTCAGCCAAGCCTGCAACTGTCACTCACAGGAGTCAGGCAAGCAGTTCAGATACTAAGGCCAGCTCTGACCACCAACAAGAACAACTTTCAGCAGTGACAACGCAGAGGGCCATGTTATGTACCTCCCCAAGGCAAGTGTACAAGATTACCTTGTCAAAGACTCGGAATGCCTCACGGATTTCTTCTTCGCTATCTGTATCTTTCATTTTTCTAGCCATCATGGTCAAGAACTCTGGGAAGTCAATGGTGCCATTCCCTTTAATTAAAGAAAAAAAAGCTCATGTAGGAGATTACACTGACACTCTTGTGCAGTGATAATCTCAGAGCCACTATATAGAATATTCAGGCATCTTGTAGGAGTCAAGTGAAAACTAGAATGATTAACTATTGTTTTTCTTAGGTTGACCTTCTATAGCCAAAATGCTCAAATAACCAGAGCAATGTGACTCAAGCTACTAGACAGCCCTTGCATAGTACAGACAGGGACAAAGGAAGCTGCACATCTGGATTCACAACCATGAAAAAATAGACTAGACAGGTCAAAGGAAGAGGAAGCATGCAGTTGCCTGTCCAGGCAGTACAGCCAGGACTAATCAATCATGTCCCAGTGATGTACAAAATGCTTTAGGGGAAAAAAAATTGAGAGCAAAAAAAAAAAAAAAAAAAACAGCCTCCCAAGTCTTGTCCAGGTACCCTTCCAACCCTGCTACACAGGCTAGCTAGCCACGTCCCTCCACCACATGGCTATTTTTGTTGTGGTACCGGGAATTGAACTCAGGGCCTCATATGCTAAACATGCACTCTTACTCCCAAACCCTCAATTCAGCGTCTTCATTTCCCATGAAGGAAAAAGATCAGAAGCCATTTTCAGTTTAGGATCATTAATGTGAGGAATCCATACTCAACAGCCAGCATTTCAAATGACTCCTCTAAAGCTAAGGGATAAATATTCCCAAAGACAAATCCTAGATTAACACTAGCTTGAATTATATGAAAATAAGATTAGAAAAAAAAAAAAAATATCAATACTTATTTACAATTCATTTTCACTGGAACATTTAAAAACAAATAACTTCCAAGGCTGATTGTAGTCAGATGGCTTAGTGCCTTTGGTTCAATCCCCACATGGCATAACAATGTAAGTGAACACAACATCAAAGATCTTTAAAAGTCTTTGAGGATTTTTATGTAAAACAAAATAAAACTAAGTGCTACCTATATGCATGTGAAGATACAATTTCTCCCACTGTGTTCCAAATAATCGGACAGTCAAACGTACTCTCCCTACCAAACCTGGCTTCCCAGGATTTACACACAACAGGAAAGGCCATGTTCCCATATGTTGAACAACTAGACAGAATTATGGACTATTTTTTCTAAGGCGGCATTGAGGATGAGAGTAATCTTTAGAGGTATTTCAACAGGCACAGAAAACCTAAGTATCACAACACTTTATGGTGCCACATCCTTTCTAAATGACTTACCTCACAGCATCTGTCTAGAAAGTATAGCTTAGATCCATGTTATATCTTCTTAGATCCTTTAAAATTATAATCTACATTCTCAGGACACACATTCCTGGACCATTGTGTCTTTTCAACTAGGGGAGAGCATACCTCCAAACCAGTTCACTGACAAAAGGGAGCAATAAGCTCTGCTGTCTATAGCTGTCATCTACAGGGTGGACAGCTAACTGTCATGGGGAGCTGCTGGATCTTTCCAGCCCTGAACCTTACAGCTTTCGACACTTGTGCTGATATTGAGGGCTGCTCCCTCCATCTACTGCCCTCAGGTTCTTCCTCCTCTCAGAAACAGGTGCTTCTTTAAAAAGCAAGGTCTCTGACTTGGTGCAGCTTTAGGGGTTAGCTCCTGGCAAGACTGGAGCTGTAGGTCCCAGTAAGAAAAAAAAAAAAAAAAAAGCAATCCAATCCAGGCAATGCCCTAGACAGCGGCATAGTGAACTGAACAGCAAGCCCAGTGTTGGTTTTTTATTTTTTCCACCCCAAGACAGGATTTCTGTGTAGCCCTGGCTATCCTGGAACTCGCTCTGTAGATGAGATCTGCTTGCTTCTGCCTCTCAAGTGCAGGATTAAAGGTGTCCACCACCACCTGGCATCACCATCTTCTATTTTAATGCCAGGAGGCTGTGATGCAACCAGCATCATTTGCTTTGCCCCAGGGACCTTAAAAGTATTCTGTAACAAGTCTGAACTCAGATCATACCACACTGGCGCTCGCTCACAGTTCTAAAGCCCTTACCGTCAGCATCCACTTCGTTGATCATATCCTGCAATTCAGCTTCTGTTGGGTTCTGACCCAGTGACCTCATGACAGTTCCAAGTTCCTTTGTTGTGATGGTGCCATCACCATCTTTATCGAATAGGGAGAAAGCTTCCTTGAATTCTGAAAAGAGAAGTTTACTCTTTAGAATCAGTGCTTTTTTATCCATCACAGTGGTGATACACACTTCCCTAGGGCTTGCCAAAACAAGCTTTCCAAGTTATCAGAAACCACCTGGCCTTTATCTGCTGAAATAATGACCACAATAGACCTGTTGGTCTGGCCATCACACAGTAACCCAGAAAGCAAACACTATCCTAGTGACCACCTCACTAAAGCCACAATATCCTATTTTTTTAACAAAGCGAGCTTGCACATACTTAAAACAGGTTGTTAAATGCAATCTGAGACGGCTGATTCACCAGTTACAGTAAAGTCCCTTCATGTTACACTTTTATAGCCATACAAACTTGTTTCATGGCAACAAGATCACTAGAAACCTTCCCAGGTAGACAGCACAGTCTTTCTCTGTCACATTCAGGATATGTTTCAGAACTCTTAAAAAGAAGATTTACTTATTCAAGGTGTATGAGTGTTTGCCAGGATCTCCCAAATTTACATATGTATGCCACATTTATACCTGGTGTCTGTAGAAGTCAGAATCAGATCCCCCAGAACTAGAGTTACAGACCACATTGATCTGGGAACCTAACCTGGGCCCTCTGCAAAGAGCAACAAGTACTCTTCTCAATGAGCCATCTCTCTAGAAACCACCTTCAAACATTAAGGCAGAAATATTAAAAAGGTAAGGCTGCCGGGCATGGTGGCATTCTGGAGGCAAACACAGATCTCTGTGAGCTCAAAGCCAGCTGCCTGGTCTACATAGCAAGTTCCAAAACAGCCAGAGTTACATGGTGAGACCCCATCTCAAAAAAAGAGTTTCCATGTATCTTAGGATATCAAGCAAAAGCTTTCCTGATACATTACTAGAAGACCTGTGGCCTAAAAAGTATACCATTTCAGAGTAGCAGATTCGGTGGCTCCTGTTCTATGCACAGCTGTGCACACCCAAGTGTGACGGGCAGAGTCCATTCCATATCACCTCTAAACTACACGACACCTCACTGTTTCTGTTTAAGAAGTCTTAGAAAACCACACAGACAAGAGAAGGGAGGGGCTACAGAAGACACAAAACTAAGCCAGACCCTAGTTCCAGTTTCCTGGGGACTCCCCAGAATCTTCAACTTACCAGCAATCTGTTCTTCAGTCAGCTGATCAGCCTACATGGAGAAAGAAAAGGTCACAATTCAATCTAGGCAAGTTTGGTTGATAGTAACCTAGCTTTCCTAATACACTTTAAAATTGTGTTTTTTTCAAATCAGTATTTAAAAACAAATGTTTAGAAATCACTAGCACTGCTGTTCAGTGAAAGCCACTACAATCAAGGGAAACTGTTTAGGCTAGCTTAACAATAGAGGGGGACAAAGAAGTGACAGCATCTGCTGGCTTCATTTCTTTGGCCTGCGGCTTGCAGTAAGTGCTGCCATGAAACCAGTCAGTCGTAATGTGGGAAACAGCGCCTCTTGTGGTTAAAGTGCCCATAGCACCAGCTGCAGCAGCAGCAGCAGCAGCAGGCGGAGAAGGAAGAGCGCCACCTACTGCGACATGAACACTGCAGCCGTTGGTTCCATCCAAGAGACCCAACCCAACGCCACTGACAAGGCAGCCAGGACCAGGATCCTGTCCAGGGGCAGGCTTTTAGTGCACCTTGCGCAAAGCTTTGGGCCCTCCAAAATCTCTACACTGGCGTTACATAATGGTATTGGGTTGGATTAACAGGCTTTTATACCCATTTCATGAGAAACAATTAAGTGGGAAAAATATACAGTAATGGTTACCCACCCCATTTCCAATCATTTAAATTAGGCAGTTATTTGCTAAAAGCCTACCATTTACAATAGTTAATGCCTTTTGGTCATATTATCCTATGATTCTGAAGCTAGGAAAAAAAACAAATCCTAGGGCTGTTACAAAACTGCAAAAATAAAGCACACAGAAAGCACAATTATAAAGCGATGATATCCCTTTCCTCGTGTCCAGGAATAACTTTTTATTTGCTACTATTAACCCTGCCTACTCTAAGATTACCAAAAAGCTGCTTATCGCCAATATTTGATATTTCCCATGTTCTAGGTACTAAGTGGCCACAAAGGTAATTATATATATATATATGAAGCTAGTTACAAAAGAAACCCGATGGCAATGAAGTTTTTCCATGGAAACTCTCCTTATATATTGATTTAGGGAAGAAAGAACTACTAGGTAAAATCTTGAGTGTCTTCCCTTCTCTCCAATCCTGGAAGCTACTTTTAAGGCAAACGGAGACACGATGATTTATGTAATGCCGAGCCCTGTCAGTCTTGCACGACAGGAAGCACTGCCACGCCTCACAGGAGAAACTGTCGGCTAACCAGGGAGAGAGTTCCGCCTCCTCGAAAAATTCTGACTTGAGGCCTGTCAAGCGCATCTACCTTCAGGACAACGACTCCCCACCACCCCCAAGTCATTCGGGCCTTGGGTCAAAGGCATTCCTGACCTGCCAGGAACGATCTAGCCGCCCTGCCAGGGCAGAAGGTGCTGCTGGTGATGTCACTCTGCCTGTCGGGCGAGAAGGGGGCCATGGCACACGCACCCTGCCAGCCCGCATTAAGTCCTATCTGGCGATCCAGAGGCGGTTGAGAAAGCGGAAACGTGCAGATGGGCATCTCCCTGCCGCCCGGAGAATGGCGAGAGACAAGGGGCACGCCGGGCGAGGGGCTGGACTGGAGTGCGACCCAAAAGGGGCCTCAGGGCGGTGGTGCTGCCCATCCCCGGCACCTCCCACCGCTCCCGCTCCCCCAGGCACTGAGCCTGTCGCCTCCTCCTCCCCAGCAGAAACTTTGCGTCTCTAATGGAAACCGAGGAGCGCGCCAACTCTCTCCTCCCCCGCCCCGCCGCCCCAATTAGCGCGGGCCGAGCACCTCCCGCGGGAAGGGGGCCTCCCCGTGGACCGGGCGATCGCGCCCGTCTCGCTCGCTCGGCGCCAGGGCCGCGGTTGCACGGCTCAGCCACGCGCGCGGCCACCCCGCGGGGCCCCGCCCGAACGCAGGGCGGCCGCTTCCGCCCTCTCCGCCCCCCCGGCCTTCGCCTTCCTGCCCCCAACCCCACCCTTCCCCGGCTCCTTCCTTCCCAGCTCACGCCCGCGCCGCGCCCCCCGGGAGGAAGGAGGGGACCCGCAGCCGAGGGAGGGCGCCCGCTGGGGTTGGCCAGGGGGTCTGAGGGTGGCTGAGCGCACCCCGCAGCCTGCGGCCCAAGCCCTGTACGGCGCCGGCTCGCCCCGACCCATTCATTCTCCGCGGCCGGGGACTGGCTATCGGGACACCGCGGCCAGCCCCGCCCCGCGGGCCCGGGCCGAGGCGCTGCAGGCAGCCCGGGTGCGGCGCGCTGGATGCAGTGGGTGCGGGGCTGAGGGAGGGGGTGGATGCGGAAGGCCCCGGTGCAGCTGTGGCAGCGGCTCCCAGCCCGCGCACAGCCCACTGTGGAGTCCAGCCCCAGAGGCGTCCAGAACTCCAGAGGAGGGTCCCTGGCAGCCAAAGCGGAGATACAAACCCGAAATGCATCCTTAACTGCAGCTGCTGCGTAACCACCCGGGGAAGGGTGGGGGGGGGGGGGGGTTGACCTCAGCCGGGAAAACGGGGAGACCCGCGACTCAACTACAGATGTGTTATAAAGAGAGCCGGGGCAGCTGCTACGTCTGCGACTGCCTGTCCCAACCTACCATGGTGCGAGCGAAGGGAAGAGCGGAGCAGGCGAGGGTGGCTGCACCAGCGCAGGGGCTGCGACCGCCGAGGTGCCTCCGCTGCTGCTGCTAACGCGCTGTCTGCGTTGTGCGCCGAGCCTCAGCCGCCGCCCGACTGCGAGTAACGGCACCGCGAACGCGAGACTCCCAGCGCCACTGCCGTAGCGCGAGCCTGTGCGCCGCGCTATATATACGGTGCGCGGTATCCCTCCGCCGCGGCAGCACCGCCTCGCTCAGGGCGGCGCTGCGGCAGCCGGACCTCGCCGCGAGGCCCCGCCCCCCAGGCGCGCCCGGCGCGCCGAGCCCACTGCGCGGGCAGGGGTCACTCGGGGGGAGCCCGGGACCCGAGCGAGGGTGCTGGCGTGTTGCAGCGAGGCTGCCCTAGAGCCGGGGTGACTGGGTAGCGAGACCTGGGGGCCGCGCCTCGGGCTCCCAGCCGAGTGCGGGTCAGCCAGCCCCGCTCTACCTGTGTGCCCCCCTCCCGCCACTCCCGGTGGGCTGCTGGGTCGCAGAGCCACCGTCGTCCTGGTCCTCACGGGCTCCTTGGTGCCTGGAGGAGCCGCGGGAGGTCTGGGAGCTGAGGACAGCCGCAGGGAGGGGGGGGGATCAACCTCACACTTGCTGAGGCAAGGGGACTGTGTTGAGGACGAGGTGGTTGGCCTTGGGGAAGAAATTGGTCGGATGTTACTTTTCTCATTTTGGAGAACTGTCCGAGAGGTAGTTAGAAGCTCGGATGCTAGGTCTGTGTCGTGTTTACATGCCCAACCAGTTCAGTTTTCTTGTTTTTTCTTATACCCACTAAATTTTTAAAGATGCTTGCAGATTTGTTCCCTGCTGGGTTTGTTCCTTTTTTCCTGTGGCAAATTCTGTCCATCCTGCTTCTAAAATGAATGCAGTGAGCAGCTATGGTAGACCATAAAACCCATGCTTTGAGTTTTCCCGAATTGTCCAGGTCCTGAAAATCCGTAAATTCATATACAAAAAGAAAGGGAAAGATATTCAGAATCCCTCTGATTACAGCTGGAACTCGCACGGCCAATTGATTCTAGTAGGGAGCTAGACTATCTTAATTACAATCTTAATTATAGTCCTTAAACAATGTTTTAATCTTCAAATTTACTATTCTCTATTCCTCTGTAAACTAGGATGGGGGTAGGGACGACAAAAACTGTTTCTGGTCTTAATTTGGAGCCTGAGATTTAAAAAAAAAAAAAACTTAACAAAATGCTGCAGTTTCTTTTCTTGCCAAGACAGAACACAGAATTTGATCTTTTGTTTGCAAGGCCAGGACAAGTTGCAGGTTGTTTATTCCTTCAGAAATTGTGGGAAGAATATGTGATTAGCAAGATCTGCTAGGAAACACTTGTTTTTTGTTTTTGTTTTCTGGTTTGGGCAGAGTGTTTAGATAGGTGTTTTAAAAGAATCGAAACTGTTCCTGCACATTGCAAATGCCAGAGGACTTCGTAGGACAGGACGTCAGCAACTATGGGGCTGCGCTTAATTGTGTCCCTACAGGCTTTGGGGTTCTTACTATATTGTAGTATTTTTATGTAGCTTTTTTAAATTGCCGACCTCTTCATAAATTAGGAAGCTAATTCGCTGGGAAGTGAACATTTAGTGGACCTAAATTGTCAGCCAGACAACCTGGCCTATGAAACAGGCAAATCTTTAACATTGTATCTTTAAATTTTTAGATACAGAGTTTCTGGAGTGCTGCAGAAAAGGTGAACCTGCTGTTTAAGTAGAAGCTGTAGCAGCGAGCCAGGGAAGGGTGCTGCCTCCCATCTGCAAATGGCTTCAAAACCACTCACAGACATATACATAATATCCCTCCGTCTGTTCACAGAGAAGAGACTGATAGGAAGTCACGTTAAAGCATGTTCAATAATCTAATGAATTATAGGTCTGCATAGCCAAGCTCATTATTATCACTGGTTGATTACTAAAGGAATTTGGGATTTTTTTTTTTTTTTCTGTCAGACTTTTCCTAAGGTAGTTAGCTAAATGCATTTTAGGATTTGGTATGCAATGATAGAGAAGAAATGATGGCCTGAAATGAAAATATGTTTAATTATTGAGGATCCATTTGTTTCTGGTAGTCTTCAATCTCTTACAATTATTTTGGTTATATACCTACAATCTATGGTTTTGCAAAATCAGTCAAATATTTTCCTATTTCACTAAATAAAATGCTTTGAAACTTTTTCAAGACTTTACTTGCTAAGCACCATTCATCTTAGAATTATTTTAATCATCATAGAACAATTTTCTGTTTGTTCATTTGGCAAAGGATTGCTCTTTTGGAATTCTTTTAACATATCAAAGCACATCTTAGCTTTCAAGTGTAGTGGGTTTGTAATGAGGTCATGCTTTATACAGTTTTATGGCTAGTTTCACACACTGAAATATAAGAAGGTCAAGTGACTTGCCCAGGATCTTCCTGTGAGTCGGTGATTGGGCATAAACTAGAGCGTGAGTCTTTGCTCAGGGCTCTAATATTAGATTGTATATTAGTGAACTCACTATCTGAAAATTTAAAGATACAATGTTAAAGATTTGCCTATTTCATAGGTGAGGTTCTCTGGCTGACAACTTAGGTCCACGGAGTGTTCACTACCCAGTGAATTAACTTCCTATTATGAAGAGGTAAGCAATTTTTAAAAGCCACATAAAAATACCATAATATACTGAGAACCCAAAAGCCTATAGGAACATTCTGTGATACTTAAAGACAAGAGTTCTATATGGAATCACTTAAATAATACTAAATAGAAGTGTTAGGACCAACGCACCAATGTTGGGAAACTAGGAATGTAGGGAAACGTGCACATGTGCGCCTGTGGAGGTTACACACGGGTTCACAAATCACACCACAAGATCGGTTCCACGTGGGAGGTTTATTAGGGGAAGGGGGGTTGCAGAGAGAGAGAGAGAGAAAGTAAGAAAGAGAAAGAGAGTAAGAGTAAGAGAGTAGGGGGGGGGGTCCAGGAGTTCTTAAGGGTGACTCAGGGCATGCGCAGGTAGTTCCAGGTGGTCAGCAGGTGGTCTGGGTGTCTTCACAAATGCCTGATAACTGGTCTGTCAGGTCCCTTGGGGCTGCCTGTAGAAGTGCCTGCTTACTGATCCCAACAAGAAGAGCGGTAGAAAGAACGCAGCCCCAGGCCAGGAATCTCCACTGCCTTGTGCCAAGCCTCAGCTTCTCCCCATGACCCCTTCAATCCAGCTCCCACGCTGCCAAAACCAGTACCACGTGGGAGACTCTTAAACGTTGCCAAGCTTGGCTGCCAGCTTGAGACACAGCCTTGGCCCCTCTGGACCACAGCTTCCCCGTGCTGACACTAAGAAAATACCTCCAGAAGGTTTTTTGCCTCAGCAATGCTGGTGTCTTCTTAATCACAGATGATTTTTGTTCCAGATGAGCAGTCCCCATCGTCCAAGCAAAGCAAGGGTTTCACTTCCACAAATTCTTTTTTTTTTTTTTTTTTTTTTTTTTTTACTTCAGGTTTATTTATTTTACTTTATATGTGTGCACCAGGTGCTTGCCTGTTGGATTCCCTGTAACTGGGTTCACAGATGGTTGTGAGCCACCTTGTGAGTGCTGGGAATTGAACCCAGGTCCTCTTCAAGAGCAACAAATACTCTTAACTGTGAAGCCATCTCTCTAACCCTTCCACAGATTCTTAATTCAAATATACCTTGGGAATGACCCCTGAGGCATCTCTGAGTGACTCTCAGACTTCCCTCTGGCCTTGGTCATCTGCATCTATCTTAGTATTATCTTCCAAGTTCTTACTGAAGAGCCCATTAAACCTGAGCATGCAACAGCTTTTCCAGCTCCAAATTCCAAATGCTCTAAATGCCAGCTCCAGTTCCAAATGCTTCCACACCTTCTCAGAAGCCAACATGGTCAGGTTCATCAAAGGAAGATCTCTCTCTTAGGTACCAATTTTTGTTCTAGTTTGTGTTCTGTTGCTGCAATAAACACCATGATCAGTATCAGCCTGGGAAAGGGAAGGGTTTACTTTAGTTTACAGGTTGTATAGTCCATTAGAAAAGCTCTAAGGCAGGAGCTTGAAACAGAAACCAATGAAAGAATGCTGGTTACTGGTGTTCTTCCTCACCTCCAGCTAGCTAAGAGCTCAGCCGAGGTTCCTATACCACCAGGCCCATCTGCCTAGGGATGGCACCACCCACAGTAGGCTAAAACCCCACATCAATGAGCAATTAAGAAAATGCCTCGCAGACATGGCTACAGATCAACTTGATTTGGGCAATTCTTCAGTTGAGATTCTATCTTCCCAAGTGACTCTAGTTTTGTATCAAGTAGATGGCTGAAGTTAACTGGGACAGCACCGTTTTGCCCATGGCCATGGATATGCAACACAAGTTGGAATCAGGGATACAGAGCCAGAACACAGAGAGATAACTGGACCTCATCATCGCTGTGCTTTGACCAACTGAACTCGCAAACAGCCAGTGGTTATAGAGACAAAGGAACTAAGCGTGTGGCTTGAGAGGGTAAAATGCCCAGTGGGATAAGATTGTAGTTTTATGTTTCATTTGTTTATCTTGAGCCCAAACTCTTTTAAAAGGGGCGTCTGATGTACCATGTAATGTAGCTCCCCCCCCCCCCCTTAGGCTTTTTTGAGAGTCTTGCTATGCAGCTCAGGCTATGAAATCCAGACTGCTCTTGAACTTCCTATCCTGCCTCTGCCTCTGGAATGTTGGGATTATAAGGGTACCAAGACCAATGCTTGAAATCATATTGTTTTGGAAATAATTAAGCAACCATTTTCTTTATTCAAAAGCCAAATGCAAAATTACCCTTAATCAGTATTCAGATCATAGTCAGCAACTTGCCATTTCTACCAAATATACTATGGGTGGGGTCCCACCATAGCCCAGATTTATGACAATAGGCTTTCAGCAATTATTTAGTCAGGGGAGGGCTGTGTGACTACAGGCAACTGGCATGGCAGGTTTTCTTGGGTGACTGTTTGCCTAAAGAGCAGAGCTAATGATTGGTCACCAAGGCCTCAAAGGCCTTGAACTGTAACGTTAAATTAGACAAAGTGATGCTGATTGCAGAATACATGAAAGAAATGGTCTCATCAGTTCCAGAAGAGTTAAGACCCTCTAAGTAAAGCTAAGGAGATGGCACAG